CGTGGTCCCGGATCCCGGGACGGGGCGGGTGCCGAGGAGGATCGGGGCTCCCTGCACCGCGCGGGCCAGGCCGGGAGGAGGGGGCGTCGGGACGGCAGCCCCTGTTGGTGGCCCGGTTGCTAGGAGCGGGGTGAAGAGGATGCTAGACGGTCGCTTGGGAGCAAAGACTCGGACTTTCAACACGCGCTCTCCCTCCTTCTTTCCCTCTTTCTTCTTCTTCCTTTTCCTCCTCCAACTTCCTCCTCTTCCTTTTCTTCTCTTTCTCCTTCTCCTTTTTTCTTCCGCCTAGAAGTTGTAGTTCAGAAAGTATCTAGCTTTTGTGGTGTACGTCCTGATTAAAAAATGTCCTTCTGCCTCTGGGACACACAGAGCTCCCGTCTCTGTCTCTTCTAGAAAGGTGTGTGGCTTCTACTGAGAACCCAGGAGCCTACTACCTTGATGGGTCTCTTCCCGGCTTTCTAACAAGATTCTGGGTTTTCCCAGGCTGTGCGGAGAGGCACCTGAGTTAGCTCCTTTGGGTGTGTGTCTTGAGTGCTGCACCGGCTCCGGGGTGGACTCAAGGAGGCAGCCACCCACATCCGCTCCTCGGCTCTGGCCCCCTTTCCCCTTTGGCTGGATCAAACCCGGGCACTTGGGGACCTGATCTGTAGCCTGTGTCCTGACTCAACTCTGAGCCAACCTACCGAGTTAGTTAGGGCAGCTCTTTAGTGCTGCTTTACAATCATTTCTTCTCCCCTAAGCGCCCACCTGCCCTTTATATTTATCATTTTCTGGCTCTCCATCCCAACTCACCCTGACTTCTGTCTAAGTTTCAGGGAAGTGTATTACCTGCATTCCCAGCAAGGCTTTTGGTAACCGTTAAACCTGCTGGATCTCTAGTGAAGCAAAGGATAAGAAGTTGACATGAGAATTAGAAGAAGTAGGGCTTTGGGGTTTTGTACTGATTTGGCCTGACTGTACCAGATCTCCTCCAGTCTCTGATCTACCTTAGACCCCCTGAAATGATGCTCATTGGGCTGGGAAGGTGGCTCAGTGGTAGAGCGCTTGTCTTGCATGCTTGAGGCCCTGGGTTTGATTCCTCATGACCGGAGCCCCCTCCCCCCCAAAAAAAAATGATACTCATCATTGGCCACTTTCCTTGGCCGCTGGTCCTCTTCCTGGCTAGCTTCCGCTTGTTCGATTTCTCCCATTTGACCCACAGGTCTGCAGCCTGTGTCTGGAGTCAACACTGATCAGGGTGAAGGTGATGCCTGTATTCCAGTTGTACAAAATGAGTGTGACGTGGTCAGCCAGACCTGGAGCTCAGCCTCACAGAGAGTCCAGGTGGGAATGGGACCCCACAGTGGGAGTTAGCCCTGAGCACACCCCAGCTGAGAAGTCTGCTGGGGAAAAATCTATCTCACCTATAAGGGAAGAGGGGAGCAGGGTCCTGATGCAGGCCATCCACTGCAGTTAGTACTCACCCAGGGCTTACCCTGATGATCAGGAATAAATGTGATTTAAAAACAAACAAACAACTTCTTTTTGATCAGATGTTTAAGGATTTGACAGGAATAGGCTCCCAGGGGTCCTCTCAGCTTCCCGCGGCCCCGGCGCTTTCATCTCTCCTGTCCTCTCCCTTTGTCTGCAGCCTGCTGCTCTGATGCCGAGAGGGAGGCAGAAAGTGCCACATTTGGATGCCCCCCTGGGCCTGCCCACCTGCCTCTGGCTGGCATTAGCCGGGCTCTTCATACTGGTTCCCTGGGTCATGGGCCTGGCAGAGACCAGTGGGCCTGTCACCCAGAGCTCAGGGGGGCTGAGCTGGGCCGTGCATCTACACAGCCCAGAAGGCGAGTGGGAAGAAGAGAATCTGGCACGGCAGGCAAATGCCGTGGCCCAGGCAGCAGGGCTGGTGAATGCTGGGCGCATCGGAGAGCTCCAGGGCCACTTCCTCTTCGTCCAGCCGGCCGGGCACAGAGAGGCTGCCGAGGCGGAGGCCATGCGGCAGCAGGCAGAAGCTGTGCTGGCTGAGCATGCAGCTGTGCGCTGGCATTCCGAGCAGAGACTGCTGAAACGGGCCAAGCGCAGCATCCACTTCAATGACCCCAAGTTCCCTCAGCAGTGGCACCTGGTGAGTTCGGTTCTGTGTGCTCCACTTCCGGCAGGCGGGAGCTGCAGCCCTTTCCCTGAGCCCCTCTCCAGCTGCTCTATGACTGTGGGGTCACTCCTGTGGGGATGAGGTGTGGTTTGCCCTCTGCCTTTACCTCCCCTGGTTTCTGCTTCCGATGGCCTTGTGCCACAGCACCTAGAGTGCGAATGGTGCTCCCAGGCTGCCTGTCTCCACACACTCACATGTGCCTTTGGGCAAGCTGCTTCACCTCCCTGTGCCTCCGTTTCCCCATCTGTAAAACAGAGATTATAAAAGGAGCTACCTCCTGGTCATGGCTGGATAGATGAAGTAATATATATCAGCACTTAGAACTTGCCTGGCACCCGGTACACACTGTTGCGTACATGATATCACCTACCACCTGGACCCTGTTGCTCTATAACCTCTGCCTGGCTCTTTAGTGGAATCCCAGGGGTGAGAAGGGCCTGCTAGCTGTCGTTTGCCTATCTCTGGGCCAGGCTGTGTGTCATTGGATTCCCCCCCCCCATCCCGCCCACAGAATAACCGTCGGAGCCCTGGCAGGGACATCAACGTGACAGGTGTGTGGGAGCGCAACGTCACGGGGCGAGGGGTGACTGTGGTGGTCGTGGATGATGGAGTGGAGCACACCATCCAGGACATTGCACCCAACTACGTGAGTGGGCCGGCGCGACCCCTCCCTGCCGCGTCCCTCTCTTCCTCATTGCCCCATTCCTGGAGGGCAGCTCGCCAAAGCAAACAGCCTGGGACGTGGGATAGAATTCTTCCTCCCACACTGGCACAGCCGGGGACCCAACCCCATGGGAGGGTAATCCCAGACAGTACTTCCTGTTTCCTGTGGCTCCTCTCTCTCTCTCTGCAGAGGTGGGCCCTGAGGGTGACTCCCTTCTCCCCTCTAGTCTCCCTATAAGGCGTGACGTTGGGTAGCCCCCAGGCTGCTATCTGTCCCAGGCTTCCCAAGCCAGGGAGAAGCGGACACATTCCTTCACGAGGCCAGAGCCGTGGCCCTTGTCCGTTTTGCCCCAGAATCCTTGGCTTTTCCCCGTGTAGCTCTGATGAGGGGCGCAGAGAATTGCCTTGCTGCCCCTACTTGGAGGTGAAAATTCCCAGGTCCTCTAGGGCCTGACCACTTTTAACCAGTGAATGGCTGACCATGTGTCCTCTCCTCCTTATTTCAGTGCCCAGAGGGTAGCTATGACCTCAACTCTAATGACCCGGACCCCATGCCCCACCCGGACACGGAGAACGGCAACCACCATGGCACGCGGTGTGCGGGAGAAATCGCTGCTGTGCCCAACAACAGCTTCTGCGCGGTGGGCGTGGCCTACGGGAGCCGCATAGCAGGTACCTCCTGCTTCTCCATAGGCTTCTGTGGGCACAGTGGGCATCGCCTTCCCCTCCTCACCCCAGCATCCATAGCCTAGTGCCAAGGAAGGCCTCTAACAGGGCTGATTTTTTTCCACTGCAGTTGTGTTTCAAACGTGTATTTTAGCAGTAAGCTCTGCTATATAAAACAAAAGCAGAAAGGGTCTTGACGTCGGCCAGAGGCCCCCAAGCCACACCTGCTCACTCTCTTCTTCCTTTCTTTTCTTTTGTCCCCTGGCGGCAGTGGGCTTTGAACTTAGGGTCTTGCACCTGCTAGTCAGATGCTCCACCACTTGTGCCACACCCACAGCCCTTTTATTGTTTTAGCTATCTTTCAGATAAGGTCTCTTGTTTCTGCCCAAGTACCGGTCCTGCGCACGGCTGAGATCACCGATGCACACCTCCACACCCTGCTTGCTGGTTGAGATGGAGCTTACTTAACTTTTACCCAAGTGAGGCTTGAGCCTTCCAGGTCTCTGCCTCCCAAGTAGCTGGCATTGCAGGTGTGAGCCACTACACACGGCTTCCTCTTTTCTTTTTCTTACCATGGCTATGTGATGAGCCATATCATTGTAACAACACCTTTGGCATGATTGCATTGTATCTTCTTATAATTTAACAAATGCCTTCCAGTTCTCCCTCCACAGCCCCACAGTCCCATCTTTCCTGTCCCCCCAGCCCCTCCACCATTGCTTTCCCTCCTTTGAAGACAGCCCAGTCCCCCACTAGAGGTGGTTCACAGTTCCTTCACCTCAGTCTTTCGTCAGTCAAGTAGAAGGCAAAAAGAGTGAAAGAACTCCTGCCATGATTCCTAAAGGACACTTGAGAATCAGACCCCCAGACTGGATGCAATACTCTGATCTTCCAGCAGAGGGCTGCATCCCTCTGCAGATGAGATAATAGAGAGAGGAGGTATAGTAACTGAGGGTTTGAGCCCCTTTTTCTGAAAGCCCCATCTGCCTCTCTGTGGTCATCAAAACACAAACTACTCCATTGTAGGGACAGAAGTACCTGGTCATGGGAATACTAATCCTGAGTGCCATTAGTGAACACCATTTTTGAGTCAAGCACTCAAAGAATAAGAATAAAGATGAAGACCTCTTGATTTCCCCCACTCTAGCCTGTCCTTTTTGTCACCAAACTCCGGGACTTTTAAGGTTTCAGCATGACAGTAAGAAACTTTTTTTTGACAGATCACATATTTACATGCTATAAGAATTCAAAACAGGACAGAAAAAGAGGATACAGGGGAGAGGTGCATCTCCTACCTGTAGGGTCCCGGGGCCCCTCCTCCCCAGTCATGAGCTGCTGTGCTTCCATGTCTAGGGATCCGGGTGCTGGATGGCCCTCTCACAGACAGCATGGAGGCTGTGGCCTTCAACAAGCACTATCAGATCAACGACATCTACAGCTGCAGGTAAGGCAAAGCAGAGGGTGCACAGAGAGGGAAGAGGGGTGAGGGGCAAGCACCTGGACCATCTGCCAGGGCCAGCCCAGCGAAGAGCTCTGGTTCGGGCAGAGCCCCCAGCAGAGCCCCACACTGGGCTCAACAGATAGGAATGTTGCCCTCATTCCTTCAACTCAGCCAGGAGGTATTCCGTCATCCCGGTAATCCCAGTGTCCCAGTCTGCCCACACTTACTTTCTAAATTTGTAAGCTCCCTGGGAGATGGTGAGCTTTCTTCTCCAACCACCGGCCAGCGAGATACTGGGGTCAGCTCCCACCATCCCCTGAGAGCACCTGCTGCACCAGGCCGTGCCTTTGGTGGGCTATATAAAGAGGAACCCAGGTTGGCTGGTCCCATGACATGCATGGCACCCGTTCCTCCTCCTAACCAGTAGCCCTTCAATGGTTGCCATTGTCTCAGAGATCTTTCTCCTTTGAGAAAGAAGAGAGAATTCCTCAGCCCCAGGCTGCCCTGCTGTCAAGAGATCACAGAGAAGTGAGCAGGTCCCTCTCTGCCCCTAGGGATGTCTCCCGCTCCCTAGGACCTGAGAAAGGGGCAGGATAATGTAGCCTTAAGCCAGGGACATTTCTAGGAAAAGAACCTTAACACAGACTTCCATTTTCCATGACGGAGAAGGAGTGGACCTTTGAACCCTGTCTTTTAATCACAAGAATCCTGCCACAGGCAGAAGAGGGGCCAGCTTAGACTAGCAGGCCCTGGGCGGGTGGCCCCAGCCTGGCTCTGCGCTTCCCTATGGGTTTTTCTTAACAGCTGGGGCCCAGATGATGATGGGAAGACAGTGGATGGCCCGCACCAGCTCGGAAAGGTAACAGAGCCACATGGAGACTCCAGTCCTTAGAAGTACTGAGAGTCAGCCCTCTTCCCACTTTATTCAACTCTCAGTGCCCATTTAGGCCACTCATCCCTGCTAGAAAGAGGTAGCTAGCCAGGTGAAGTGGTACACTCCTATAGTCCAAGCATTTGGGAGGCTTGGGCAGGATTACCTTGAGTTTGAAGAAAGAGACAGAGATGGAGAGGAGGAGGGAGGGAAGACAGGGAGAGAAGGAAGAGGAGGAAAGAAAGGGAAGGAGAACTGAACATGGGACCGAGGAGAATGGGGGCCGAGTTCTTGGAGTTACTGCCCTCCCATCCTGTGCTTGGCCCATTCCCAGCCTCATCTGTCATCTGAAAACATCAATCGAGCACTGTTCAACTTGGGCTTCCTCCTCATCTTGTGCCCTCTCTATATCTCCTCCCATGCCCAGTACCCTTTGAGGCTTTTTTCCCTTTCTTTCTGGAAGAGGAAGAGAGGTGACTGGGTAGTAGGCAGAGGTCTTAGTATGAATTCCTTGGTGTTAGCCCAACGCTGTTTTTCCCCGCAGGCCGCCCTGCAGCATGGGGTGATGGCTGGTCGCCAGGGGTTCGGGAGCATCTTTGTGGTGGCCAGCGGGAATGGAGGCCAGCACAATGACAACTGCAATTATGACGGCTACGCCAACTCCATCTACACCGTCACCATAGGTAGTAGTCTGGTAGCTCCATTGTGTGTGTGTGTGTGTGTGTGTGTGTGTGAGCACCCGTATCTCAGGGCTCAGATGTACCAGCCCTGATCTCTGAGGACCCCAGTGTTTCCATGGAAACCTGGAGAGATCTCGCACACACGGCCCACCCTCCCACCCCACACCCGGCTGCCATTCCCACCACCACTGAGACCTCTGCTTTGGTCTCTCTTTCTGTGGACCACTTGCCTCCTAATTGAAGCCTTCCTTCCCTGCCTCCTCATCAACCTAAACTAAGGACCTTCTGCCTATGCTCAAAACTGATTTCCTTCCTTACCCGCCTCCTGAGATCCCCCTAGTCATGGATCCTCCTCAGTGCTCGGTAATCACATGGCTCTCCTCGCTACCGCCCTTCCTGTTCTCCACCCTCCCAGAATGAGGCCTTTTCCCTGTGGCCCTAACACCTAGCACAGTGTGACGCGCAGTGTCTGCTTAGGTCATATTTTAAAAAATGAAGCCAGGCACCTGTGGCTCACACCAAGACTCCTATATACTCAGGAGGCTGAGATCTGAGAATCCCAGTTAAAGTCAGCCCCAGCAGACAAATTGGAGAGATTCTTTTTTTTTTTTTTGTCGGTCGTGGGGCTTGAACTCTGGGCCTGGGCGCTGTCCCTCAGCTCTTCAGCTCAAGGCGAGCGCTCTACCACTTGAACTACAGCGCCACTTCCGGTTTTCTGGTGGTTTATTGGAGATAGGAGTCTCACGGTCTCTCCTGCCCAGGCTGGCTTTAAACCGCGATCCTCAGATCTCAGCCTCCTGAGTAGCTAGGATTACAGGCGTGAGCCACCAGCGCCCGGCACAAATTGGAGAGATTCTTATCTCAGCAAAAACTTGGAAATGGAGGCATGGCTCAGGTGGTAGAATACTAGCTGTGAGCAAAAAAAGCCAGCCAAGAAGGCCAGGCCTTAGTTCAAGCCCCAGTACCAGCTCCAAATAAAAAGGAAGGAAGGAGGGGGGGGGAGGGAGGAAGGGAGGGAGGGAGGGAGAGAGGGAGGGAGGAAGGAAGGAAGGAAGGAAGGCAAGCAGGCAGACAAGCACACTAGGTATATTACACCCCCTCTCTGCCACTCAACCCACTCACTCAGATAAGGGGTACTCAGGTCATTTCTAAAGCTTGAGATCACCCCCAGATGATAACTCAAAGGTGACTTGGGTAGCACATGGCCCCAGTGCAGGACCAGCTCTATGTGGGCTCCTGTCTCCCTGTGTGTCCAGGTGCTGTGGACGAGGAGGGACGGATGCCTTTCTACGCAGAGGAGTGTGCCTCCATGCTGGCTGTCACCTTCAGTGGTGGGGACAAGATGCTCCGAAGCATTGTGAGTGCCTCCCCGCCCTCCTCACCCCTGCCCCAGTGGTCAAGACTTGTCTCAGCTAGGTACAGGTAGTTCATGGTCGTAATCCTAGCTACTCAGGAGGCTGAGGTCTGAGGATCTCAGTTCAAAACCAGCCAGTGTAGGATTCATCACCAAAACAGCTAGAAGTAAAGCTCAAGTGGTAGAACACTAGCCTTGAAAAAAATCTCTCTCGGACAATACTCAGGCCCTGAGTTCAAACACCAGAACCAGTACAAAAAGAAAGATGTCAGCCATCATGGGGTGTTTTCCTTGTTCCCAGCTTCCTGCCCCTGCCTGGATCCTCTGTCCTTGCAGGCCCATGTCTCTTTCAAGGCATGCCGCCGCTGGGGAGAAGCTCCCAGGACTCTGAAATTCCACACATGTGAGAATGCTCATATTCTTAGAGAAACAAGAGCGGCCTTGATAAAAACAACCTCTCTGCAATGTTGGGGCATTCACTGCTTTGTGTGGACTTAAATAGAGATCGTGCTTGCTTTGCTGTCCGACCTTACATAAATACCATAAATACTGCCAGTGAGTCTTCAGAAGTATCTCACGGGACGGGTGAATAAGAGACTCAGTGGACAGCTGTTCCCCGCTGGAGATTGGAGATTGGAGCCAGGGAGTAGATCTTCTCTAGTCCGTGGCGGGCCGGGGCCCCGGGCTGTGGTCCTGGACCTTCCTGTCCCTCACGGTGGGAAGCGGGTGGCTGTGCTGGCCCCCGGGCCGCCTTGGGAGCTCTCCTTGGGGCCACTGGCAGTGAGGCTGCTCCGTCTTCCAGTGGGGTCAAGCCCATTTTCCAAAACTAAAATTTTGTCATGGCAGTAAATGACTGCTGGTCAACACAGTGTTCCAGGGCACTGTGCCAGCTTGCCCGTGCTCCCTCCCCTTCCTCCTCCCCCCTCCCCCTGGGGAGAAGAGAAAAGGAGTGGAACAAAGAGGGGGGGAGGCAAGAGAAGGTTTGCAGGCCACCCCGTTAGCCAGGCTTGGTTAGGAGGCCCTGTTCTTCACCCCCACTCCACCCCTGGCCGCGCTCTGGGGTCCCAGCTCACCCCTGGCCCAGGCCTGAGAAGGGTCCATAACCTTACATGAGGCTGTGTGGTGCCTGGCTTTCCCCCTCCCGCCGCGTCCCTCTGCACTATCATTTGTCCAGAAATGAACAGCTTTGATTTAGCCAAGTTCCCATCTTCAGAATGTCTTGCCTTGGAAGCCTGCTGTTAGGGGTTTCTGTCTAACAGCCAGGGCAGCGGGATGAGACTATTTCCCAGGGTGGGGGTGGGAGAGGGCTTACCCACCCTCTGACTGCCCGGACAGTCTCCCTGAGCCCCTCCAGGGCTGTAGCCACCAAGGCCCAGTTCACAGGCTTCATCGCTGCACAGTAGACTGTCACCGTGAGGTCACTGCCTTAACAGGAAAAAATCAATCTGCTCCCTGGCACCAGCCAGGCTCCCGCGCTCATTGAGACTACAACTTGGAGTGTTTTCCCCTTCCTCCTACGAGTGCACAGTGTCTGGGTGAAAATTACATGCCTTGGCAGCTGCCCTAACAGCTGGGAGGAAGGCAGCCTCGAATGGATGTTGGCACCCTGGTCCCTGACCCAGAATGGAAGTCAGGAAGAGACATTCTGTAGGCTGTGTGCCAGGACCAAGTGCCTCTGGACAATAGGAAAGTTTAGCAGGACCCTCCTCAGCAAGGCCTTTTCTGTTTTGTTTGTTTGGTGTTGGTCCTGGGGCTTGAACTCAGGATCTGGAAGCTGTTCCTGAGCTTTTCTTCTGTTCAAGAATAGCTCTCTACCACTTGAGCCATACCTGCTTCCAGCCTTTTGGTAGTTTATTGGAAATAAGAGTCTCCCAGACTTGCCTGCCTGAGCTGGCTTTGAACCACAATCCTCAGAGCTCAACCTCTTGAGTAGCTAGGATTACAGATGTGAGCACCGGTGCCCCGCTGTTTGGCTGATTTCGTTCATTGTTTTCGTGGGACAGAGTCTCACTCTGTAGCCCACAAGGTTTGAGGTTGGCCTCAGACTTCCTGTGTAGCTCAAGCTGACCTCAAACGCAGTCCTGCTTTTGTCCCTAGGGTGCTAGGATTATAGGCATGTGCCATCATACCCAGCTCTTAGCTAAACCTTTTGAGGTATTGCAGGGATGTGAAGAGAACTTGACGCCAGATGGATGTCTGTCCCCACTCTTACCACGCACCTGAGAGCGATGGTGGAAAAGAGGACTCGTGGAAGCCACCCTGTGGGCTGGGAAGGCAGCTCGTCTTGTGGATGGCCAGTAGGCTGTTGAAGCCACAATGCGCAGCAAGCTTCCTGCGTCTGCGCCAGTGTTCCAGCCACTACCCAGCTGCCAGCTTGCTTTTTTTTTTTTTTCAGTTATGGGGCTTCAACTCTGGGCCTGGGCGCTGTCCCTCAGCTCTTCAGCTCCAGGCGAGCGCTCTACCTCTTGAGCCACAGCACCACTTCCAATTTTTCTGGTGGTTCATTGGAGATAAGAGTCTCCTGGACTTTCCTGCCCGGGCTGGCTTTGAACCATGATCCTCAGATCTCAGCCTCCTGAGTAGCTAGGATGACAAGCATGAGCCACCCATGCCTGGCACCAACTTACATTTCATTATCTGGGGCTCTCCTTGCCCAGTAGCCCCCCTGACCATGTCCTGGGGCTCACTGGCAGGAATTAGAGTTAGGGTGGGAGCAAGAAGAGAAGGAGACCCAAATCCTCATGATACCCCACTCCTTTCCCACTGTACCCATTTCACCAGGCTGAGGTCCAGAGGAGGCTGAACACTACGGGTCTCCCATCAGTGGCCTTTTCCGGTCAGCCATGCAGAGGTGGCCAGGAACAGTCCCCAGCTACGAGACTGGGGACTTCAGTTTCCTCCCTCCACAGCACTTTTTTGTTCCCCCAGTCCAGGGACTTGAATTCAGGGCCTGAGCCCTGTCCCTGAGCTTCTTTAGCTCAAGGCTAGCACTCTGCCACTTGAGCCACAACACCACTCCTGGCTATTTTCTGTGTATGTGGTACTGAGGAATCGAACCCAGGGCTTCATGCATGCGAGGCAAGCCGCTCTACCACTGAGCCATCTTCCCAGCCCCCTCCACAGCACTTCTGACTCCATTCTACTTCCCAGGTGACCACCGACTGGGACCTTCAGAAAGGCACCGGCTGTACCGAGGGCCACACGGGGACCTCAGCGGCCGCTCCCCTGGCAGCCGGCATGATCGCCCTCATGCTGCAGGTGCGGCCCTGCCTCACGTGGCGGGACGTCCAGCACATCATCGTCTTCACAGCCACCCAGGTGAGGACCGCCCTGGCCCAGCCACCCAGAGCCTGGAGACTCTAAATGTTCTGAATGCTGGCTGCCAAGTCCCTTCCAGAGTGGCATGGGTTGAGTACATGTATGGGGACCCCATCAAGGCCCCAGACCTGCTAGATGCCGGTGGCACATGGGTGTATTCAGCAGCCTGAGGTCTGAGAGTCTTGGTTTGAAGCCAGGCCCAGGCAGGAAAGTCTATGAGACTTTTATCGCTAATGAACTACCATAAAGCCAGAAGCACTGCTATAGCTAAAGTGGTAGAGTGCCAGCCTTGAGCAAAAAACCAAAAAGCTCAGGGACAATGTCCAGGACCTGGGTTCAAGCCCCAGTCCCGATACACCCACAAACAGACCTGCGCTCACGCATACCTCTTCTGCTGATACCATTGCCTGGCTGCCCCCCTCCCCCTTTGGAACTGCTTTCTCCCGGCTCCCTCGCAGGAAGCTAGCCACTGCGGTGGTGATGTCATGGGACGATGACCTTTTTGTCTCAGCTTCCCCGGGGGGATCCATTCCCAGCAGCCTCGGCGGTAGGGTCTGAACTGGATCCGCCAGCAGGCCAACAGGGAAACAAGTCTGGCTGGCAATGTGGGGAGCTCACCACCGCCTGTGTCGTTTCGTTTCAGTATGAGGATCGGCGGGCAGATTGGCTCACCAACGAGGCGGGCTTCAGCCACAGCCACCAGCATGGCTTTGGCCTGCTCAACGCTTGGAGACTCGTCAATGCAGCCAAGGTGAACAGGTGTTGGCCCGGCAGGGTGCTCAGTTTGGCATGATTGTGGGACACAGCCCAGTGCCTAGGATACTGTCAGACACACTGGAGGCACTTAGATAAATGTTTATGCCAGTGTCCTGACCACGCTTATCCTCACCCCAGCTGCTAGTCAGGGTTCAAGTGGAAAGTACTGGGGCTCAGCTCTGTAGTGATAAACACCCCGAGTGCAGCAGGGCCCCCAGATGTGCTGGTTTGCGTCTCCCACCCCAGATGTGGCCCTTTCCTCTGGTTCCTCAACCTGGTGATCTCACGAACATCTGGGCCACCAGCAGGCGCCTCAGGAGCAAAAGTGATGATACAGAGAGGAAACCTAGAGAGCGAGGCTTTGAAGCTCTCATTAACCCCTATGTGCATGCATTCAGGAGCTCACACAGGCGCACACACATGTGCATGCATCTTTTGAGAATGTGAGCGTGATCAGTCTTGTTTGTTGATCTTCCACCCTCATCCCCCCCCCTCCTTCCCTTGAACAGATATGGACATCTGTCCCTTACTTAGCTTCCTACGTCAGCCCCGTATTGAAAGAGAACAAGGCTATTCCGCAGTCCCCCCGCTCGCTGGAGGTCCTGTGGAATGGTAAGTAGTCAGCACAAAGGGTTAATCTTAGATCCAGGGCCTGGAGCTAAGCTCATCCTAGCCGGGTCCTCCCTCCCTTCAGGAGCTGAGCTCCAGCCAAACCTGCGGAGTTTTCTTTGACCATTTTAGGACATGTTGCTGCTTCTGACTTGGCTAGTGAGCAGGACCTTTCTCCTGAGCTCCTCTAGTGGAGCTGTGAGCAACCCACTAGGAAGGCAGGGGGCGGAGGGGGAGTGGGGCTGGAAGTAGTTCCTCTGATTCCCAGGCTAAGGTCTTGCCAGATAGTTCTAGCCAGCCCAGTGGCCTTTTGATGAAGTAAAGGAGTTGGGGATTCCTTCCTCCGTTGGTCCCGGGGATCATCTCCGAGGGACAGAGGGGAGAGAGCCAAATGTCATCTGCTGAGGGTGGGACAGAAGCATGCGAAGTCCCCTGGGCTGCAGTTGCCCCTCCTCTCCCCCAGTTCCGTGGCACCAGGTTGCTAGAAATGGCTCAAGGGGCCCCAAGGCAGCAGCATGGATCTCTGCTGAGCACAGAGAAAAGGGAAGCTGGGTCAGGTGCCCGTGCTAGAGGAGTCCCTATCTGCACCGCTTTGTTGTTGTTGTAGTTGTTGGAGTGCTTGCAATGGAACCCAGGACTTCACGCATGCTAAGCAGACTCTGCCACTAAGCTGTGCCTCAGTCCCTCCGTCCACGCGTTTCCTGATTTTCGCTACTCAGTTCCTTGGGGGATTTTCTCCCCCGCCCCCATGAGTATTTGACACTCTATCTTATTCATTGTTTTTTCTGGAGATTGAGAGGTGCTGGGCCCCATAACCTCACCAGAACTCAGTCCTTCCTTTTCCTATCTCCCAGGAGCCTGATAGGGGAGAAACAGCTGGAGCAAGGGACCTTGGCAGGGAGAGAGGAAGCCCATTCTCAGTGGAGGTCCGTGTGGGAAGAGTTTATCTAAGCACATCCCGCCCTCGCCAGTTCCCTTCACGTGGACAGAGACCTGAGGCCCGGTCACTGCCTTTTCTGTGAAAGGAATGCTCTCTTGGAAAGGGCAGAGCATCCGTTCAGAAATGTGCCCAGGAATGCAACTCCCTCCAAAGCCCCTGGCTCACACGGCCTTCCTGAGGAGCTTTACCTCTGTCCCAGCCATTACAGATGAGGAAGTTGGCTTTGAAGATCTGGGGCCTCCCAATAGCCAGGGGACATTGTCCCTCACAGTCTTCTTCCCTAAGGAGCGAGGAGCCTGATGATTGCTTGTCATGAGAAGCAGCAGAAAGGAGGGTGGTTGTCCTGGGAGTGGGGAGTGGGAGGAGGCGAGGTGGAGAGCAGTCTACAGAGGAAGGAGGGGGTGACGGCTAGGCTAGTAAAGCCCTTCATCTGCTTGGAGGGCAGCAAGCAGGCTTGCCACCCATTTCAGAGGCCAGCAAAGGTGACTTCTCTGAGCAGAAGGAACAGATGGGCTGGTCACCAGTAGCTCACACCTGTAATCCTAGCTACTTGGGAGTCTGAGAGCTAAGGATTACAATTCAAAACCAGCTTGGGTAGCAAATCCATGAGACTCTTATATCTGATTAACCACCAAAAAGCTGGAAGTAGAACTGTTGCTCAAGTGGTAGAGCATCATCCTTGAGTAAAAAAGCTAAGGGACAGAGCCCAGGCCCTGAGTTCAAGTCCCAGTACTGGCCAAAGAAGGAACAGGTATCAGCTGAAGAGTTGGCATGGTGGTTGGAGGAAGGAATCTTAGGTGATACAGAACTGAGACACTCGGGTGCTGGTGGCTCACGCCTGTAATCCTAGCTACTCAGGAGGCTGAGATCTGAGGATCGCGGTTCAAAGCCAGCCCGGGCAGGAGAGACCGTGAGACTCCTATCTCCAATAAACCACCAGAAAACCGGAAGTGGCGCTGTAGCTCAAGTGGTAGAGCGCTCGCCTTGAGCTGAAGAGCTGAGGGACAGCACCCAGGCCCAGAGTTCAAGCCCCACCACCGACCAAAAAAAAAGAACTGAGACACCTCCTCCCCTGCAGATCCGGCAGGAGCTGGGTGACTCCATGTCTGGAGCTAGAAATAAACCTTTGGAAAGGAAGAAGTAGCTGGGTACGCCAGTGCTTCACACCTGTAATCCTAGCTACTCAGGAGGCTGAGATCTGAGGATTATGGTTTGAAGCCCTTCCAGGCAAGAAAGCCTGTGAGACTCTTATCTCCAATTAACTACCAAAAGAAGCCAGAAGTGGAGCTGTGGCTCAAGCAGTAGACACAAGCCTTGAGCAAAATAGCTCAGAGACAGTGCCCAAGCCATGAATTCAAGTCCCAGGACACCACACATACATACACACACACATACACACACACACACACACACACACACACACACGTAGCTGGGCATCCTTGAGATAGAAGAGGAGGCAGAACCCCCTGAAGCCCCCAGGAGCAGTATTGTCCCCCAGGACTTCCCATCGTGACAGAAATGTTCATGCGTGCCACCGCGAGTCTGTCGAACATTTACCACATGGGCAGTGTGACTTCGGAGCCCAGTTTTGATCGTATCTCATGATTAAGCAGCCGAGTGTGACTGGCGGCTGCCCTCCCAATCAGCGCACCTGAAGGGCCAGCCAGGTTTTCACTCTTGCACCCACAAGTGAGCAGGCAGAGAAGAGGGCACTGGCTCCGCATGTCTTCCAGAGGACGGAGAGAGTGGGCTGCGAGGGTGTGTCTCCTCCACCAGAGAAGAGTGTCCATCTCCCACTCACACCTGTCCTTTGTCCTCTTGTGGGTGTACCAGCTGACCCACTGCCCAGCCCCCTTGGCCCTCCTGCCCTCTGCCCACACACGCTCCCGCTCAGCCTGCTCTTCCCTGCCCTGCGGACTCTTCCTCCTGTCTTCCAGCCAGAGGTCCTGCTAGGGCGAGAAAATCAATTGATATCATTACAGTCCAGAGCTCATTCCAGTCCTCAGCAGTTTCCCTTGCTCTGGATGTGTGTAGTGTGTACAGATATCACAACCAGGATCCTCTGTGGTAACTCCTCATGGCTGCGTGCACCCCCTTTACCAACCCCTCGCCCCCAGGCGTGAATGTCACGTGCGTGGAATTACACAGCAAATAGCCATTCAAGATTGGCTTTATTATTACTTTTTTTTTTTTGCCAGTCCTGAGGCTTGAACTTGGGGCCCGCGCACTGTCCCTGAGCTGCTGCTTTTTTTTTTGTTTTTTTGATGGTGGTAGTGGTGGTGGTTGTAGGACTTGAACTCTGGGCCTGGGTGCTGTCTCTTGGCTCTTCAGCTCAGGCTAGCACTCTACCACTTGAGCCACATCACCACTTCCAGTTTTCTGAGTGGTTTATTGGAAATAAGAGTCTCACAGACTTTCCTACCCAGGCTGGCTTAGAATTGCGATCCTCAGATTTAAGATTACAGGCGTGAGTCACTGGTGCCTGTCCTGCGCTTCTCTTTTTGCTCAAGTCTAGCACTCTACCACTTGAGCCACAGCTCCACTTCCAGCTTTTTCTGTTTATGTGGTACTGAGGAATTGAACCCAGGGCTTCGTGCATGCTAGACAAGCACTCTACTGCTCAGCCACATTCCCAGCCATCATCATCATCATCATCATTAGCAGCAGCAGCATTATTCAGCATAACTTCCTTGAAGTTCAGCCCCTTCAGTCATTTTTGAAGTGACTTTTGTGCAGTCTCATGTCTGGGATTTGAACCACCTTATCTTTGTGCATGCTGTTCCCCCTTCTAGAATCCCTTCTGTCCATCAGTCCATTTCCTTCTTTAGTTCATCTCCCTGCTCTGTGCCTCTACCCATTCATCTCATGTCTTTCCCTTTACCAGTTATGTGTATCATGTATCATATCATCCATCATATTGCCTCCATGTGTGGGTAGAAGGCAGCACATGCCCAGCTTAACTCTACACTCCCAGCGTCTGGTTCAGAGACTGTACCGTAGGAGGTATTTTTTGAATGAACGAATGATGGAAGCTGGTTCTCCGATTGTATCTTGGCCAACTAGACTGTGAGCTTCGTGTGACTCAACAGCAGTACCGCCGTCCGCCGCTAGGGCGCACAGCCCCAGTTGGCTCCTGTGATTGTGGACTTGGTGCATGTTGGGTGCGGGAGGGCAGCAGTGTGGGTGGGCTGCTTTCCCAGCTGCCCGCCTGACTTCCTGTAGTCAGCAGGATGGACCTGGACATGTCGGGGCTGAAGACACTGGAGCACGTGGCCGTGACCGTCTCCATCAGCCACCCACGGCGCGGAAGCTTGGAATTGACGCTGTTCTGCCCCAGTGGCATGATGTCCCTCATCGGTGCCCCCCGCAGCATGGACTCGTACGTACAGCCGCCCACGGCCTCCTGAGCTCTCTATACAACATACACCTTCCATTCCGTGCCAGACTGAGCAGCGCGGTGCTGATTGTCCCTGGCAGCTCACACCATTGATCCCATGCTTTATTGTGGTGTTGGGAGGCGGGGGGCACCGTCACACTGTGCATACACTTTTCTGCATCCTTTTAAGAACTCTGGGGCAGAGTACACATGTAAATACCCACAGTCCCAACCTTTGGAAGACTGAGGCAGGAGGACTGAAAGCTGAAGCCATCCTGGGCTACAGAGTAGACCCCGTCCTCCTCCCAAACAGCAAAAAGCAGCCAGGCACCAGAGGCTCATGCCTAGCTACACTGGGGGGTAAGATCTGAGGATGACAGTTCAAAGCCAGCCTGGGCAGGAAAGCCTGTGAGACTCTAACCATCAAAAGGCCAGAAGTGAAGCTGTGGCTCAAGTGAAAAAAACTTGAGTGAAAAAAACTTAAGGGACAGTTCCTAGGCCCTGAGTTTAAGCCCTTGTACTAGTGCATGCACGTACATGCGCACACACGTGCACGCACACACACACACACACACACACACACAAAAGTAGACTTTGCAGTCTCCTGTAGTAGTGGAGGAAGAAATCAGAGCTAGCAAGTACCTGAGACAGTAAAGATAACTTGAGACCTCTGGGCTCTGGGACTCAAGCCCAGTGCTCTCTCCACGCTGGTATTTCCCACTACACCAATGCACACAAGTCCCTCTCTTCCTGAGACCCCAGGGGCAAAGCACAGTCAGTGCCTGAGGACCCTTCCTCACCCTCCCAAATGGCTGCAGCTGATTTCGTGGTTCTGGGAGGCAGGGCGGCTCCCTGCACTGTGCCTTCCATGATTTCTGCATGGTTCTTTCCCCAGGGATCCGAATGGCTTCAACGACTGGACCTTCTCCACTGTGCGCTGCTGGGGGGAGAGAGCACGAGGCATCTACAGACTTGTAGTGAGAGATGTGGGTAAGCTCCGCTTCTCCATTGTCACCTGATTCCTCCCCATCTCAGGGACCCTATAGAAGGGCTCCCCTCTCCCCCGTGAGGAATCCAAATGGTTGCCCATTGGTGAAGAGAGTAGATGTCAAGAAATGTGCCCCATCCTAAATAATGGGCACTGATCCCCAAAATAATACTATTCATCCAGCCTCTCTTGGAGAAGTGACCAATCCAATCTTCTTTAGGATAGCAACAACAACAAACCACCCCCCCACACAAATCCTTGTTGACAAACCACATTTCAAGTCATTTCGCATATAACCACCCTTCGGCCAGCCCTCATAGGCAGGGAAGGGCAGGTCTCATTTTCACTTTTTTTTGCTTTTAGCTTTGTCTTGATTTTTAAACTGAGGCCTAGAGGTTTGAAGTGACTCATAAGATCACAGCAGTAGCAAAAGCCTTTCCCACAATACATATTGAAATATCTGACCTGAGTACTGGGCTCACACCTGTAATCCTAGCTACTTAGGAGGCTGAGATCTGAGGATCACAGTTCAAAGCTGGCCCAGGCAGGAAAGTCCATGAGACTCTTATCTCCATTTAACCACCAGAAAACTGGAAGTAGCGCTACAGCTCAGGTGGTAGAGCGCTATCCTTGAGTGCCCAGGCCCTGAGTTCAAGCCCTATGAGCAGCATTGTTAGGAAGGAAGAAAGAAAGAAAGATAAAGAAAAGAAATACCTGTACTATTAGTAAATAAGCCCAACTTTCCAGTCAAGTGAAGTGTTCACCTAACCTTTGGTTTTCAAATCTTCAATGTGGTAGAAAGATTTTCCCTTTCCTTTTTCTTTTTGACAGTTTTGGGGCTTGAACTCAGGGCCTGGACGCTGTCCCTGAGCTCTTCTGCACAAGGCTAGCACTCTACCACTTTGAACCACAGTGCAATTTCCAGTTTTCTGGTGGCTAATTGGAGATAAGTCTCACAAACTTTCCTGACTAGTCTGGCTTAGAACCTTGATCCTCAGATCTCAGCCTCCTGAGTAGCTGGGGTTACAGGTGTGAGCCACCAGTGCCCGGCTAAGACTTTCTTCTTTTCAAGCAAAATTCCTGAAATATGAGAGATAAAGACAAAACTCTGTTTCCAGTACATTTTCAACCTCCCTGTCCCCCCGGGGTACCTGGTGAGATGTCACTACACAACCTGGGGTCTTTGGGACCTAGTTAACACAACCATGTCCGCACACTGGTCTGCATCTCCCTGGGTGGGGTGGGCGCCCGCTCTGCTGTTCTGGCCCGGCTCACTGAGCAAACCCTTGCTCCCCTAGGAGATGAGCCACTCCAAGTGGGCGTCCTGCAGCGGTGGCAGCTGACCCTGTATGGCTCCGTGTGGAGCCCCATAGACATCAGGGACAGGCAGAGGTAGGTACGGCCCTGCGTGTCAGCACACAGGATGCTCAGGAGGGGATGGGAAGAGGCCGCCTAGGGAAGCCCGTCTCCCAAGCCCCAGCTCCGGGCTCAACCCAGAGGACAGAGCCATAGCCAGGAAACCCACACTGTGCTGGCCAGCTTTGCCATGGGGCTCTCCCCAGGGGAGAGGACGGGATGGGAGCCACGATCCCTTCTTCCCCACAGGCTGTTAGAAGGTGCTATGAGTGGAAAATACCTACATGACGGCTTCGCTCTGCCCTGCCCACCTGGGCTGAAAATCCCTGAGGAAGATGGTTACGTCCTCACTCCTAACACCCTCAAGGTACTGACGCCAAAACACAACCACCCCGGTGGGCAGGATGGCCCCAGGGGGTTTGGTTTCCGGTGCTACTCAGAGGGGTGAAGGGAATGAGAGCAGGTAGCCTTGTTCCCAGCTTGATAGCCGACTGTTAGGGGTGCTCCCCCCGGGTAGGGGGGGAGCAGGGTAAGATGGGGGAGGCAGTCCAGGGAGGGAAGTGCACGGTTCTGAGCCGGAAATAGCCCCTGACATAAACATGTGGCTTTTTTCCCAGATGCTGGTGCTGGTGGGCTGCTTCACCGTCTTCTGGACTGTTTACTACATGCTGGAACTGTACCTGAGCCAGAGGAATATGGCTTCCAGCCCTGGTTGTAGGAGCGGCCCCTGCCACTGGCCCCCACAGAGCCGGAGACCCAGGGAGGAGGGGACAGAGCTAGAGTCGGTGCCACTTTGCAACAGCAAGGCTGCAGACAGCACGGAGATGGAGAATGGGGGCCCTTCCAGGACCTCCGAGCGCCGCACGCCAGACCTGCTTCATGAAGGGGACTGGAGCCTCGCCCAGAACAAGAGGGCCCTGGACGGGCCTCATCAGCACCCACCCCCAGACCTGCTGCAGGGAAAGGAGGATCAGATCTGCTGACCCCAGGGCCTGACGGACTCCGGGAGGGACAGGTCTGCCTCCCTCCCACCCATGGCGAGCTCCAGGGGGAAGTTCTGCTTCCTTCCGGAACGGAGGCCTTCACAGCATCCTCTGGCCACCCACAGTGAGGGCTGTCTTAATGACAAGTGGCATGGACTGCCGCCAGAGCCCCAGGGCCGCCTCCAGCCAATCAGAAGCTTTGGTGAGGCAGCGTCGATGAGGGCTTGGCACCCACACTCAGCAGGCTTCCATCCCGTTCTCTCGGGTGAGGCCAGTGACCCAGGTCACGGGGACCCTGACCCACGTGTAGACTGAGCAGGTCCTGCACGGCCAGGGGAGCACGCAACAGGAAGCGTGGACCCCAGTGGGTCAACTGGGACGAAGGCACCAGGGAGAGGCTGGGGCGAGGCCCTGGCGGGCCGGTCCTGCAAGCCGCTGCCTCCAATATTCTCTCCTGCGCTCCTGGTTCAAAGCCAGCCTTGAACTCTGCCATCGCCCCTGCCCTTCCTCCTGAACCATGAGTCTGTGCCAGGCTCCTGGCGCCGCTTGGGAGCAGGTGTGAGACCCCCCCAGCCCGGCCACCGCCCTGTCTTCCTCCGTAAAGTGCTCAGGGAAATGGCCTCGCCCACCGGCCGCTATCTGCTTGACAGCCTTTGACTTTTCCTCCCTTCTTCTGAGCGAACTGACGATTTATTTTTTAATACCTAAGATTTGATGATTTTCTCTTTCCACCGCAACATTTTCTTGAGTCCTTTTTTTCTGCACAGCTTTTCCAAAATAAAGTCCATCTGAACAGTTGCAACATTCCCCTGCCTTTCCTTTCTTCACCCCCCCGCCCCCCCAATCCAACGCAGGTGGGCCGGTGGCACTTCCTCCCCCTGTGTTCCCATCTACCTCTCGTCCTGCTTCCTCTAGCCGGCCTGAGCCTGAGCGGGCAGGAAGGCCACCAGAGAAGAATGGCCAGGAACACACACCAACCCCAGTTGCTACCTTCTCCCTGTTCAAATGTCCTAGAACCGTAACTGTAAATGATCCGAACAAGCAAAAGGCTGCCAACCAGGCCTGAGAAAAAAGACATGTATATATTTGTTTCTTTTTTTGAATTTCAATCCCAAAAATATTCCAGCAAAAGGAGATGGGAGAGGGCGAGGGAGGAGGTTGGGCTAGGTCTCCTTCAAGACACCTTTGTCGCCAAGGAGGACAGTGATGCTGGCCATATACCCAAGCCCACTGGCCCCTGCTTAGCCCAGGACAGAGAGAGACAGTAGAAGTGGGGGTGCATCTGGCAGAGGGGTCAGGGCTGTGGTGCTTGGAGGTAAGAAGCTGGCCAAAGCAGGGACGTGGAGAAGCTGCCCATGTGCAGTCACCTTTGCCCAGTGACAGCCCCAAAGCTTGGCCAAGGGCTAAGAACCTACAGAGGTGTGAGTGAGGCTGGCTGGCCATGCAGGACGGCTACAGCTGGAGAGGGCAGGGCTCTAGCTGATGATCTGCCGGGGCCGGCCGTAGCCCGTCATTCCAGCCTGGGAGGCCCCTCTGTTGCTGCCCATCTGCAGGCCAATGACATGCTTCCCCTCCTGCAGCTGGCTCTCTGTGAATTCCCTCTTGTGCTCCTGGGCTTTCCTGGAAGAAGAGGAACATGATAAGATTGGCAGAATGTAGTCTTCCCCACCTGTTCTCATCCCTTTGTTTCTTTGTCCCTTCCTGTTTCTCCTCTTCTTCTTCTTCTTTTTTTTTTCTCCCCTTAATCCAGCTGGCTCCATGGGCTATGGATTTGAGCACACAAGAGTAGAGAGAAAGAATTTGACAGGTGCCAGCGGCTCATGCCTGACATCCTAGCTACTCAGGAGGTTGAGATCTGAGGTTCGTGCTTTGAAGCCAGCCTGGGCAGAAAAGTTTGTGAGATTCTTCTCTCCAATCAACTACTCAGAAAAAGCCTGAAGTGGTGTGTGGCTCAAGTGGTAGAGCACTAGCTTTGAGCCAAAGAAGCTCAGAGACAGTGCCCAGGCCCAGAGTTCAATTCCCAGGACCACCAGCAAACACACACAAAAAAAGAGGTATAAAGGTCCCACTTCTTTAATTCCCTCTCTGGGTACCTTCCTGGCTATCAGCCTCACCTGACTGTCTTCCTAAACTGACCAGCCCCAGCCACCCCACCCCACAAAGAGATCCGAGCTTAGAGGGCAAGGATGCCCGGGGCCACATACTTCATAAACCAGTTAGGATCGCCACGGTAGTGTCCATCATTCTTGGTTACTGCCAAACTGCCCAAAGCCATCAGAGTCCTCTGCACTGCTGCCAGATCTTTGCCTATGAGAAAAAGAGGTGGTGAGAGGACAAACTTCAGGACGAACCCTCAAGCCAGTTCTGCCCCAAAGGGAAGTGCCCTTGAATCAACTAGGACTTCAGTAAGTCCTGCAGTAAGTCCTTGGGGGTTGTAGCATAGTATAAACTCACTTTAGGGGTGATCGAACCCAAGGCCTTGTGCATGCTGAAGAATAGTCAACTGCTGAGCTACACCCCAGCCCCTGTGGGGTGAATTGGGCTATTATTCCATTCCTGCTAGGCATAGATTGACAGATCCCTTGTGACCTGTTTTGATTTCTCCCCCTCCCTCAGAATCTTCTCCACCTGCCCACCAGCCCCTGTCCTGGGTTTCCTCCGTACATTCAAAGAGGTCAACAGTCTGGAACATGTCAGTCTTGGTGACCCCATAGTCCTCGGCAGCCTTCAGGAACTGAGCCACCTGCTCCATCTGCTTGAACACCATGGAGGGCGGGTTCTCCGGCACCTTCACTGGCTTGGAGCCCTCCGGATACAGGCTGTTCACCAGCTTGCTCAGAATCTGCCAGGTACCAGACACAGTAGGGCACTCTCCTTAGAGAGCCTGCCTAGGACTTGCAGGACAGGACACCCCCGCACCCTGCCCAGGGAGTCACTCACCACGCCATTCTTCAGCCACACCTGGAAGCCCAGGCGCCCACGGTCCGGGCGACCCACGTCGGGCCCACACTGCATGACGATCCACTCGACTAGCCGTTCCTCCAGATCCTCGTCATACTTCTTCTCAATTTTGGATTGCACTTCGCGGCTCATGCCATAGGAAGGACCCTTGTTGGCCATATTGGGGCAGAACTAAAGCAGGACAGGGCAGACGAGGCGGGGTTAGACACTAGCACTGCTCTCCCTTGTGCCAGGCAGGACTTCCAGCTCTTCGTGGGAACCCCACACAGGGACACATTTCCCACAGCCCTGCCCACCTAGGCCAGGCTTACCCCCGAGGGCAGAGGCTTCCCTGGACTTGAGCCCTAGGAAATCAGATACAAGATGTGTGGAGGTCTAGAGCAGGGGTCTGTAAACGTTTTTATTTTCAGTCATGGGGCTTGAACTCTGGGCCTGGGTGCTGTCCCTCAGCTCTTCGGCTCAAGGCTAGTACTCTACCACTTGAGCCACAGCACCACTTCTGGTTTTCTGGTGGTTTACTGGAGGTAAGACTCTCATAGACTTTCCTGCCTGGGATGACTTTGAATGGCGATCCTCAGATCTCAGCCTCCTGAGTAGCTGGGATTACAGGCGTGAGCCACTGACACCCTGCTTTCTGCAAGCATTTTATGAAAGGACCGGATAGTAAATAGTCTAGGACTTGTGAGTCTCTACTATTGTGGCCTCAAAGCAGCTGTAGACAATATGTAAACAATTTAGTATGTCTGTAAACCCACAACACGGTTGGGTGCCCATGGCTCATGCCTATCATCCTAACTACTCAGGAAACTAAGATTTAAGGATCGCAGTTTGAAGTGGTGCTGTGGCTCAAAGTGGTCGAATGCTAGCCTTGAGCACAAAAGCTCAGGGATAGTGCCCAGGCCCTGAGTTCAAGCACCATGACAACAACAACCAATCAAATCCGCAACAGGCTAGATTTGGCCCATAGAAATCAAGGAATAAATTGCCTCCAACGCTTAATCTTCTAGGCCAGGAGCTAGAAGAGCAAGACTTTGGTTTCTTTGCCAAGTCGGCTTGGCCTCTGGCTGCAGCTGAAGAGGCTCAGATTTACCCACACCTGGCAAAGCCCAAAGCATCTGTATTCTTAGGGGGGCCGAGGTGGGGAGCATGCAGAGAAGAGAGGACCTGGGTGCCCATCCACTTCCTCTGTGCCCTCAGACTGTGGCACTGGAGGAACTGAGAAGCCACAGTCCTCGGGGACAGTCCAGGGCCAAGAGTCTGCCAGCCAATGGACAGGAAGCCCATCTATAGGAAGCCACAGCAGCTGCTGCCCAGATGGCCCAGGCCTGGCACAGCTCAGGAGCCAAGAGAATGGCTGGAGAGCCAGGAGGGCAGGTCACTGGGAAGCCTCAGACATGGCTGGTCCAGTAGAGCCAGAGCTGGCCGTAGGAGTCACCTGTAGTAAGATGCGATCTGCCCAATGACTGAAGAACCTTCCAGAAGAGAGGCCAACGAGGCCAAAACCATCCCTCAGCCTCCAAAAGCAGAAATGGTATGAGGACGGGGCAGTGGGCAAGTTCCCCAACCTCTACCCTGGGACAGCTGAGCCCTCTCCCCTGCTTCCCTCCCCCGGCCAACTCCACCCCGTGGGAAGCATAGTGAACATCATCACATCCCTCTGGGCCCAGGCCTGCAGCCAAACTCTGATGTCTGCCCTTCCTTTCCCCATGGCTGCCAACCTCCCGGAGCTCCGAGAGTTCCCCAGCTGTGAAGTGGAAATAATAGGATCTGCCTCAGGGGCGGTAAAAGTGACCGTGTCTGTGAACGACCTCCCACACTGCCTGGCCCTGAGCAGAGCTCCTAGAAATGTTGGCCTGGGAGAGAGCCAGCGCTGGCCCAGGAGCCATCTTCCTCTCTACAGCCCCAATCTCCATTCGGGGTTTAAACTCAGGAACTTTGTGCTTGCTAGATTGGCGCTCCACTACTTTGGCCACACCTCTATCTCTCCTCTTTGTTGGTTATTTTGGAGAGAAGAGTCTGGCAAACTTTCTGCCCAGGCTGGCCTCGAATCGTGATCGTTCGGATCTCAGCCTCCCCCAGGTGCTACGCTGACAGGCCTAATCCCCTTCTTAAAATTATTCTGGGATCCCGTGACCAAGTTTGAAAGGAAAACACAAAGGTCTCATCTCAATGGCAGCCACTGGAAACCTCACCTCCCTGAATCTGCTGGCTGATTTTTTAAGGTGGGGAGGGGATCAATGGTGAGAACGTTTTGAGCATCCTCTCCCAACAGACGATGCTGGAGGACACAAAGGTCTAAGTAGCTAAGTCTCTCTCTCTCCTCACCATCCTGCCGTAGGTCTGACCTCCTCCCTTCACCCAAACACCCTTTGGCAGAATAAGCAAACAAGGCAATGGGATCAGGTGATGCAGCCATTCTCTCCTCCTGGCCCCCACCATCTCAGATAGGCACACACTAGCTCTTGCCTTGCCTGTGTCTCCCACTCACCCACCTTCCCTTCATGCGAGGAAGGGAAGGGTGGAAGGAGATGGTCCCTCGCCCACAACTTGCAGACTGAAGAACTTCAGAACTGACAGGGCAAGTCAAGGAGTCAATGCTGGTGAAGGCGGGACACAACACTATAGCCAGGCACGGAGAGGCAGTATTGGGATTTGGGTCACAGCAAGGGGAGGGGAAGGAAATAGCCCCAACTGGCTGCTACCCAGCACCACCCCATTTCCCTGGCTGCTACCTGGCAGAGAGTCTGAGAGCAGAAAGTCCCAAGAAATCCTAGAGTCCTCCAGTGAAGGCCTTTGGGGAGAGGAGGGGGAGCAGAAGATGCCCACGCAGGGGCATTTCCACATGGGGGCATTAGAGGGCAGAAGAGTGCTGGGGCTTGGCTTTGCCCCTCCGCCCCTGTGACTCCTGCCAGGCAGGATGAGAGGGAAGTTGGTGGAGTGGCACCAGCTCAGGAGCCCAGAAAGACAAGAAGTGGGATCTTCTCCAAGACTGAAGTCCCAGACCTCATCACCATGAAACAGTGAATTCGGGAGACCCTCTGGACCCTCAAGAGTACACAAGGGGGAGGGGACGGGGGAGATACAGTGGGGCAGCCCCACTTCACCAATGTGATCCAGCCTCGGGGCAGCCTCATAACCACAAAGGGAAACCACTAACATCCTTTGGGCCGGGCAAGAGTGCCAGGACTGAGCAGACCTGCCACACAGCTCCTCCACCTGCAGCCCTCTCACCTCCCACCCCAGGCTGGAAGGAACCACATGCATCTAGCCAGGCCCTGCACACGGCCAGCCAGCCTGTTCTGTGTGGTTGTGCGTGTAGCTCCATGGCCGGAGGTGAGCCTAGCATGCACCTGATGCAGGGGCCTGGGTTTGATCGCCAATCTGGGAAACATGAAAAGGTCCATGATCCTTCATAGTGCCACCCCGGGAGGGGGGTGGGGTGTTTCTCCTGTGCCCCTCAAGTCTGCAGACCAGCCTGGGGAGCAGCCTGGGGAGCAGCCTGAACTAGAGAATGCCCCTCTCTTGGGCATTCTTCTAGAGGGAGACAGACAACAGAGACTTGGCCAAACCAGCCTCACACACGGCCTCAAATGGTGGATCTCCCTCTCACCCTCTCATGGCTTCTACCATCGGATCCTTTGCAGCAGCCAAGCCACTCCGGCCATCTTAAACAAGACCAGGCAGCCTGGTTGAATTGAGAGCCATATGGGTATTTGGGGAGCGAAAGGGGGGGAGAGTTCCACCCTGGGGGGTCCACCCACCCACCAAGCCATCATCTGAGGACCAGCCAGGGGGCCTGTGAGGAGGGAGCTGTTCAGAGCTCAGCCTGACCTGTCCCGCTCCAAGTTCCCTGAGAAAGCAGGCGCACTCACGTTGCTGCAGGAGCGCTCGGTGTCCGGGTGGGCTGGGTGTCCGGGCTGGGGCAGACAGGCTGGGCGCTGCGGGGGAGAGAGGTTTAAAGGGCTGCACGGCGCTGATGTCAGCCACCCCCCGCTGGCTCGCCCCTAGCCCCCTCCTTGCTGGAGGAAACCGGCTCTGCTCCCCACCTCCAGCTCCCCCAGTGACTCCACACAGGCTCCATATTTGGGGAAAGACACCAAGTTGGAGCAGACTGTTCGGGCTGCCCGAGACATTCCCTGCGTGCTTTGGGGATGGAGCGGCCGGGGCGGGGAGCGGCGGGGCGGGGCGCGGCCGGGAAAAGCCTTTTATGGGCAGGACCGCGCCGGCCTCGCCTGCTCTTGGGATTTGGGCTGTTCCTTTCTTTGTGGCTCCCCAAGTTTGAGTGGGGAAGATATTCAAGAGAACTTAGCAGGAGAGGAAAAGGGGCTGGGGAGGAGCTGGGGGGGGTCCCCGGACAAATCAACCACCCTGTCCTTTTGGGGCTGTTGCATGTAGGTGATGAGCAGAACTCATTACTGAGGACCTGCTCCCTGCCAGACACTGTGCAGTGACTGTTTCGTGTTAGTAGCCCATTGTGCAGAGCAGAAAACCGAGTCTGAGTGGTGCGTGGTGACTGGCAGGGTCTGGGCACCCCTGTCCACCCCTGGGTATGTATGTGTACACCCGAGAGGTTTGCACACCCTCGCTTTCAGTGTTGGCCGCCCTGCCCAGGCTGGGGGCAGCATTCAGGTCTTGCGCTGCAAGCTTCAGTGTGGAGGTGGGAGCTGAGCGGTCAGCTGCAGTGAGTGGAACCTGACTCTGTCCAAAGGGCAGTAACAATGGAGGGGCTCCAGGCCCTGGCAGGGATAGACACGAATGCTAGGGGTCCCAGGGAGCCAGGTGGTCCCTCTTTCCATCCCATCTATCCTGTTAGATGATTTGTCATTCTCACCTGCCAACCACTGCCATCTTGCTTGGCTCCAGCTGCAAGGATCTTTTGAAGGGACAGTTGAAGAAAAGTGAGAGACATTCATTGGGGTCTGGGGTACTCTGCATCCTAAGCAAGGAGCCTTTAACACTCTCTGCTGTATACCACACACACACACACACACACACACACACACACACACACACACACAGCACACCACCCAAGACAAACAAGGGCTCCAGGAGAGGGGCGTCAAACCAGGCAGGCAGGGGAGGACTTGCCTCAGAAGCTCTGCCCAACACTGCCAACCTTGTGAGGATCCTGGTGGTGTGAAGAGCTAGGGCGCCTCCTAGTGGTGTCTGTGTGGAAGAGCAGGGAGGGGAGCCCACACCCTTTAGTGTCCTCTGCTGGTGTCCAGAATTCACCAGAATCTTCAGCTTCTACAGCTTATCAATCCTTTGCCTGATGAAATCTAAATCAACCCTCCAAAATGTTTCAAACCTCCCTCTTGAAGTTGGGCACTGGCAGCTCACAACTGGAATCCTAGCTACGCAGGAGGCTGAGACCTGGGGATCAAGTTTCAAAGCCAGCCTGGGCAGGAAAGTCCCTGAGACTCTTATCTCCAATTAACCACCAAAAAGCCTGAAGTGGAGCTGTGGCTCAAGTGGTAGAGCACCAGCCTTGAGCAAAAAAGCTCAGGGACAACATCCCTGCCCTGAATTCACACCCCAGGAACAGCACACGTGTGCGCCGCATACACACACACACACACACAAAGCCAGCAGTGGTCACTCAACTGGTAGAGTGCCAGCCTTGAGAAGAAAAATTGAAATCACCAGGTTCTGAGTTCAAGCTCCTAAACTAGAGCCAAAAACCCACACTTCCTCTTGGTGTCTATCAACCATCTTGCCACCTTGCCCTGCATGTTCATCCATGAAAGCCAGGGCAGAGGGCACTGCCAGGCTGGCCAGAGGGAAGGTGACCTCTGCCCAGTGGGTGGAGCCAAACGGCAGAGGCAGGTGACGGTTGCCAGAGAGGGAAGGCATCACAGCGGAAGGGGTCTCTGTGCAGCAGAGAGCCTTGTTCAGGGCAGCCCTCTGGTAAATGATTCCTGAGTCCACTTATTCCTGAGGAAAACTGCAAGGCAATCGAGGGGCTGCAGTTCCCAAGGTGACAGTGACCTAGGGACAAGGAAAGCTAGAAGAAATGTGGCCTGGAAGCCCCTGTCCCCGCACTGACTCCACATTCCCACCCAGGACAGGGGCAAACAAAGACACAGGAACAGAGTCGGGTTCTTTATTGAGTGCACTCATTCGTAGAAAACAAATGCAACCGTAGCAAGGAAAGACATAAAATGGGGCTCTGACACCAAGACCTAGACCCCTTCTCTCCCCAGACCGAGGAGAGCTATAGAAACAAGTCAAGGGGGAATAGAACACATTCCCAGCTCCAAGGCGGAGGCCCAACCTTGCCTGCCTATCCTTGGCACCTGGAATGGACCAAGTAGCGTGAAAGGGAGCCAAGGATCAGAGCCACGAAGGGCCCAGAGCTGGGGTGACTCCATGTAAACTCCAAGGCTTTGTGTGTATGTGTGCACGCACACACATGCACACTTGCACACACATGTGCATGTTAACACAGAACATGGCTGAAGATGGACGGAAACTCAAAAGCCAGCCCAGGGTCCTAGCATGAGGCTGGGACCTGGGACACAGAAGAAAATGGCATGTCCCCTCTTAAGCCCCTCCCTAAGACAGGCACTGGGGCTCCAAGGCTGTCGGGACGCAGGCTGGGCTGGGTTCTGTGAGCATCCCCTCCGTTGTCCCTGGACACTCTTGGGCAGTGTGAATGGCACTGAAAGGGCCCCGGCTGGGGCCTGCAGGACGGTGGGCGTGGAAACAGACAGGCGAGCCCCATTTGTCTCCAGTTCTGTTGCTGGAAGCTGATGGAATCATCCCCTCAAGACTGCAGCAGCTTTCCAGCGGGGCTGATCCTCATTGCTAAAAAGCCAGCCTAGAGCACGGGTCAGGGGGAGGGGTCTTGCTCAGGGCCCCTTGAAGGCCTTAGCACCGAAAGCCTGGCACCAGGTGGCCAACCCCCAAAGTCCTACGGCCGCATCCATCCTGGCTGACCAGTGGGCAGTGATGGCAGCCCCAGAGAGGACCGCAGCTTGAGAGGAAAGGCGGGCTTTGGGTCTCCGGCTGGGGGGGAGGGGAAGATGGCAGAATGCAAGGCATGAAATGGGGGCAGGAAACACCTTCACTCCTTTATCCCTCCTGTAGAGGGATAAAACAGATGGACGGACGGGCAGACGGACGGAGAGCCAATGGACAGAGGCCCACGGAAGGCCCAACACTGAGAAGAAAGCAGCAATCTGGCCAGTGTCTGGGGAAGCAGGGGAGCAGCCTCCTCCCTGGCAGAGGGCAGCCGCAAGTCTCAGTGCCCACCCCCTCCATGACTGTCCTGACCTGGGCCTGGGCTAGACCTCACTGTCCCACTGATGTCCAGTGCTGGGCAGCTGGGCTGGGACTCAGCCCCAGGCCTACAGAGGCACCTGGCAGGGGACGCAGGGGAGCTCAGAGCTCCATGAAGTGAAGCCAAGGGTCCAGTGCAGGCTAGAAGACATAGATCTTATCCCGCTGCACTGTATCCAAGTCATCATCCAGTGTCAGCAGCACCTGCGGAGGACGCTGGGTCAGCATGGACAAGAGGCGGCCCCCGCCTCTACTCCGCCCTCCAGGCTCTGGGCCAGGGGAGCCCCGCCTACCAGGAAGGACCCAAACATGGCGATGGAGGACAGGAAGTGCCAGATGTCATGGTCATCAAAGAAGTTGAGGAGGATGCAGTCCCGGTTGTGCTCCCTTGACTCCGCAGGGGTTTTCTGGGGCAGGGACAGGGACAGCAGCCTGCCGGTCCTGCTCTGGCCAGGCCAGAGCCACTACCCCCTTATCCCACATCAGAGCACCCACCCCCAGTTCAGGCAGGAAAGCATCCTGCCCTAACCTGTCCCTCACCTCCCTAAGAAATGGCCCCTGTGACAAATTCCTTTTCTTTTGTTTCCCATTTGTTACAAGGTTTCTGTTCTTCTCATTCTGCTCCCTTTAGACTCTCTTCCTCTTTATCTTAGGGCAGTAGCCGCGGTTGCCTGCAGCCCCCTCCGGCCCAGGCATGCCAGAAGCCCACTGCTCTGTCTTGGATTTGACCCTGCTCTCATCCACCCTGAGTCAACTGTTTGCTCCAAAGCGCCATACCAAGCCGGATCCCCTGCCACATGACCCCAAGGTCCTCCCTGCTGTGCCCCACAAACATGGCCTGTGTCTACCACAGTCTGTGCTATGCTCAGGCCCCACCCTGGCAATGCTCACAGTCCTCATCTGTTTCCTCATCTGTCAGTACCTTAACTGACTTCCCCATCTGCCTCCCTCATTCCTGCCTCTGAATCATGACTCAGAGCACAATATCTCTGCACTGTGAGGCCCTGGTCCCCATCACCCACAGCCTTTATGACGGAGAGCAAATCACAAAGCCTGCTTCTCCCAGGAAGCTTTCCTGGACCTTGCCAGCCTCTCCTGAAGTCTTCCTACCCAGCTGGCCTTTGATCTTTACCATATTGTAAACAGCATGAACGAGGGGCTCAAGGCACAGCTCCTGGTAGATGCACGCTCAACATGTGCAAGGGCCCAGGTCTGATCCCCAGCATAAAAGACATGGATGGCATTTCTTTGAACTAAACAATGAGCACCACATAGCCAAGAGATGATGTGGAACTTGATTCTACAGAGTTACAGCCTGACACCCAGTAGGTGCCCTTGGGAGGTGGCAGAGTGTCTGGCAACTATGCCTTCAAACCCAAGCTGCCACTCATTGGCTGTGTGCCTTCTGGGAGGTCTCTTAGCCCCTCTGAGACTCAGCTACCTCCTAAGTAAAATGTGAATGACTAGAATATTGAGCACTGGGAAGACTGGATGGAAGGGCAGCTACATGGAAGCGCTGGACCATCGGAGGGACTGGCCCAGGTGGTGACTCATAGGAACCTCAGGTGCCCACTCACCTGCCAGGTGCTGAGCCCCTGGAAGAAAAAGAAGAGTGCAAAGCCCCAGACCACAGAGGTGCAGACGATGCAGAGCAGGGGGATGAGCTTGATCGTCTCTCCACTCCGGAGCTGCCATGAGGAAAGGGGTGTGTGCTGAGGGTCAGGCTGCCACCCAGGCCACTTCCTGCCCTTCCCAGACTCCTCTCCCAGGGCGGCTTGGACACTGAGGATGCATCCTGCAGGAAGCCCCAGCCAGAGCTCATGCAGCCTTCTGTCCTTCTCATGTCTGGAACCCTGCACCAGCAAAGGATGCTTTCCTCTTACTCAGGATGGCACAGGGGTCTTTGAGGAAGCACCTGGTCCTCGGTCCTCCCCAAGCCCTCCTCCCCTCACCCCCTGCTTCAGTTCCTCCTGCAATGAAAGGGGCTCTGGATTGGGGGGCACAACTTGGTGTAGGGTACCAATACTTAGTAGTTGCCCCCCCCCCAGAGCATATGAAAGCGCTCTCATCTCTGTACAAGTCTCTGGCATAGATAGAGGCCCATCTCCACCCCCACAAAACAGTCCTGTTAGACACGGCTAAGCCCTCCCCAACTCACCTTCATAATAATGTAAAAGGCAAAGTAAAGCAGCAGGTTGCAGATGCCAATGGCCAACAAATAGGAAGCGAAATCATTGGGGCGCATGATGAGCCCATAGGCAGCCCTGCCAGGAGGGGTGAAGGGCTGATGAAGCAGAAGGCCTTTCCCTGGCCCCCTCTGCACCACGCTTTATGCTCATGTTAAGGTGGGCTCAGAAGCCCACAGAAAATTCTAGAAGCCTAGAGCTAACACACCTGTCTTTTCATCTCCCACCCCACTCCGCCCCCATCCCCATTCCATTAAGTTCCCCAGGCAGTCATGGTTGCCAGGGTCATGGCTGACCACATCCCCTGCTGTCCACCCAGCCAGGGGCCACCACAGCCAATGGCCACACTCACAGCGACCAGTTGATAATGTTCCCCATTACCAGCAGCACCATGCGGTCCTGGGGGGAAGCAGAGACACGGAGACTGAGAGGGGGAAGAGAGACAGGGAGAGAAGTGGCAGGAGGCCCGAGTCAGATGGTTCCCCACTCCTGCCCTGATCTCCCCTCTATGCCTCCCTGCCCCCACAGAGAAGAGAGTGGATGGAGGAGGAAGGGGCCGGGACGCTGGGCAGGTACCACGTAGAGGGGCCCGCTGCACTGCCGGATGCAGTCCGTGTAGAGCACATGCAGGATGCGGCGGAAGATCCCCGAGTCTGCAGAGAAGGGCATGGTGATGAGAGGCTTGGGGTTCCCTCCTGTGCTGAACCCCTGGGGGGGAGGGGCGCCTGCTGAAAGGTGCTAGGGCATCAGAGGGTACAGCAAGGCCGAGGTCTTCTCTAATTTCTTCCTCAGTGAGTCCTCCAGACCCCCGTTCAAAGGATATAATACAAGGGTCTCCTGAGTGTCCAGGACTCTGAGGCGGCTGACCCCTGACCTCAGGCATCCCCCAGTGCCCCTCCCACACACACACATGCGCTCCTGGGTATGCCCCTTACCCAGCTTCCAGCGGCCCATGTAATAAAGCTGTGTGCTGAGGAGCAGGGTGGCAATGATGTGGATGACCGAGAAGACAATCCAGAACGCCGTGTTCCCTTTACCAAAGACCTGTCAGGAAGCCCCCAGGGGCAGGGGTGAGGCAGGCGGCATTAAGGGCAGCTGCTCCCCTGCTTCCCAGGCTCATCCTTGCTGGGGCTGGCTGCTCAGCCAGGGGAAGGCTCTCCGAAAGGCCCGGGAAGGAGCAGGAATGTGCAACAGGAGTCAGGCCCTCACCACGCCCAGCACGGAGAAGAAGATGACGATGGCCAGGCAGGCATAGGCACTGTACGCGCTGGCGTTGATGTCCGGATGCCGCTTCTGGTAGAGCTTCAGCATGCAGAGGCCGGCGATCATGTACATGAATGACGTGTCTGCATCGGGGATGGTGGCTGACTGGTACTTTAGCTCTAGTCCCTGCACCATCTCTGGTTCTTTAGCACTAGTCTCTTAACTATCCCTGTCACCCAGAGGGAAGCCCCTGGCAAGGAAACTTAGGGTGTCCATCTATAAAAGTACCCTGAGATCAGGGAGCACTTCTTGTTATCTTTACTTTCTCAGTATTTCTGCAGGAAAAGTTCAACAAATGGCCGTTTTCTATATGCCAGGATGTGTGTGCTCAGCATCAGAGCCACCTATAGGCTGAGTCTTGGGGTGGGGGTCCCTGTGGGTGGCTTGGAGATGGTAGAAAGCTCAGACAGGTCCCTGCTGTAGGGAAGAGAAGGGCTCTACTCACCAAACTGGAAATTGGTATAGTTCGGGCAGACATGATAGCAAGCACTCAGCAGTCCCTCCATCATCAGAGCTGTGCCCATGGCATAGAACAGCCCAAAATGCTTGGGGATCCCACATTCCTGTGCAGAGAGAAAGAAGGAGAGGCAGGGCAGAGGTGAGGTGGGAAGGGAAGAAGGGATTCCAAAGAAGGAACCCCAAGAGGATGGAGGGGGAAAGGGGATGAGCCATACATTGAGTATGCATGTGTTTGAGGCTTGGCAGAGAGGAAAGATCAGGTCAGGGAAGCCTGGACAGGGCAGAGCAGGACTGGGCGTGGTAAGTCAGGTCAGGGATGGCCTGGGGCAGAGCAGGGTAAGCCAGGACAGAGCTAGGCAGGGCAGGGCAGAGTGAGCCTGGGCAGGGAAGGTCTGCGCAGAGCAAGGAGAGAAAGGGCAGGCCAGAGCTGGCCAGGGAAGGCCTAGACAATTGAAGGCAGAGCTGGACTGGGGAAGGCTGGGCTGAGAAGGAGAGGACAGGACAGACAGGACAGGGCAGGACAGATCCAGGCTGAGCAGAGCTAGCTGGGCAGGGCCGCGTCTTGAGAGAGGAGGTAGGAGAGCAGAGGCGGAGAGCGAGGTGTCAGTGGGCAGGCAGGTGCTGGCTCACCAGGGCGTAGAGGTCATTGCGCATCAAGGCCCGGTTGTGGTTGATCTCCCGCTGCAGGATAATGAGCAGGAAGAGCAGCCCCAGCAGGATGTACCCCAGGTTGCTGAGGATGTTGTTGAAGGCGCTAAAGGGAGCAAAGCCAGGTACTTGCCTCCAGCCTCACACTCAGGCCTCTCTCCTGGGACCCAGACAGGCACTCATTCACCCCCCCCCCCCGCCAGCTCTGCCCTGGAGAAGGGACAGTCCCCACAATAACCAGCATGATCCCCACCTGAGGTTGCCCAGTGGGTGAGCACAGAGGAAGTTGTAGTAGCAGATGTCCTGATTCCCTGTGACATTCACCACCTATGGAGTGGGGGGGGGGGGAGGGAAAGAAGGGGAGGGGCAAGGAGTGGAGCTGCTCATGTGCCAGCCTTGCTCCACAGCCCACACCGTACCACCTGGGCCAACACACACACACACACACACACACACACACACTCCCCAGGCACGTGTTCCCCATGACCAGAGGGATGCCAAATGGCACAGTCACTGCCCCCTTTGTAAAACTTTGTGCCAGTGTGCCAGTACTGGGGCTTGAACTCAGAACCTGTCCATAAGCTTGTGTGCTCAAAGCTAGCACTCTAACACTTGAACCACAGTGCCACTTGAGGCCTTTTGGTGGTTAGAGATGAGTCTCACAGACTTTCCTTCCCTGGCTGGCTTTGAACCATGATCCTCAGATCTCAGCCTCCTGAGCAGCTAGGATGACAGGTGTGAGCCACCAGCACCAGGCCTGTCTCCTCTCTTTACATGTGGCTGGAAACCCAAGGCAGGACCATGACAGTTCTTGCCACACAGTGCCGAGAAAAAGGAAGAGAAACAAACACATGCAAAGTCCATGATTCCTACCACAATACTTTCGAGCTAACACCCCCAAATTTTGCAGATGAAAAAGAAACTGATACTTGGGGAGGTTTTTTTGTTTTTTGTTTTTGTCGGTCGTGAGGCTTGAACTCTGGGCCTGGACACTGTCCCTCAGCTCTTCAGCTCAAGGCTAGGGCTCTACCACCTGAACCACAGCACCATTTCCAGCTTTTTCTGCTTATATGGTGCTGAGGAATCGAACCCAGGGCTTCATGCATGCAAGGCAAGCACTCTACCACTAAGCCACCTTCCCAGCCCCTTGGGGAGGTTTTATGACTTGACCAAGGTCTCTCTGCTGGTAAAACAGAGGCAGAATTGTATGTGTGTATGTGCACACACATGCACATATATGTGGGTACCAGTACTGGGACCTGAATTCAGGACCTAGGCTCTGTCTCTTAGCTTTTATTTCCTTAAGGCTGACACTCTACCTTTTGAGTGATAGCTCCAAGTCTGACTTTTTGCTCATTTAACTGAAAGATCAGAGTCTCACAGACTTTCTTGCCTAGGCTGGCTTTGAACCATGATTCTCAGATCTCAGCCTCCTGAGTAATAAGGTTACAGGTGTGAGCCACTGGTGCTCTGGCTTCAGAGATAGATTTTTAAAACCTGTGACCTGTGCACACTGCAGAGCCCCTGGCTGAGTTGCTCTGAATGTAGGGCAGTCCCCAAAGTGTAGGCAGGTGAGCTGGCGCCTGCTCCCTCACCGTCTGGTAGGTGATCACCAGTTGTACCACAGGAAGAGCGTAGAAGACGGCAATGGTGGCGATGTTCCTAAGGAGAGTAAGGGAGGTGTTGAGGTGGGCAAGACCTGGGGAGCCGCCTTCTCCCCCCAGTAGCGGGGTCCTTCCTGCTTGGCCGGCTCACCAGAAGTAGATCTGGTACTTTTTCCGCAAAACACGCTTGTCCTTCCGCGCCAGGTCAGCCACACAGAGGTATTGCTGGAAAGAAGCCAGAGTGAGCCCTACTCACTCACCACCCAGAGTTAGGAGCCTCCCTGAGCATTCTGGTGGGCAGGGTTCTAGGCTATCCCCCACTGCCAGTTAAGCCAGGAGAACTTAAGAGTCAGAAGGTGAGTTAGTATCTCCTGGGATGTCTCCTGCCTCCATCGAGCTCCTTCCCTCTGCTTCCCCACTGCACCACATCTGGACCGAGACCTCATCTTCCTCCAGAAAGCCCTGACCAGGCCCACGCGTGTCAGACCTTGGTGCGAATGACATTCTTGTCTGAATCAATGTCAGTCAGGGTGTCATAGTCATCCTCCTCCACGGAGCTCATGGAGTCCAGGCGTGGCCGAGAACCCACTGGTTCAAAGGAACGGTCTGGGAAAGGCAGGAAGAAAGAAAGAAAGAAAGAAAGAGGCTGGGCTGGTGGATACAAAGCCCCGTCTGCCCCACCCATCTGAGGCAACTGTCAAAATTACTGGGCACTTGGGAAGAGGCCAATTATGGCCCAGGGCTCAGAGCAGGAGTAGAGGTGGGCTCAGGCCCTGGGAGGCGTCAGAGGGGGAGGAAGGGGAGCTCTCCAAGAGGCCAGCAAACAAGGCCACCCCGGCTTTGCCCCACATCTGGCTCCCCTCCCTGAGCTAGCTCCCCAGATCAGTCACTGAGCAGATCCAGGGTCCTGGACACAAGCAACAGGATTCAACTCTACTGATCACAGCGGCTGGAAAGTGCTCAGTCTTGTGGCTTCTGAAGAGACACTGCCTTGGCCGCCCCTAGGGTAAAGCCACTATGGGCTTGGGGCACAAACAAAGGCCAGAGGCTGCCTCTAGGCTGCCTTTAGAAGCTCTCAGAGGCCCAGAGGCCAGGGAAGGAGGAGGCCAAGACAGCAAGCTAGAACATCTGGCTTAGGAGTAGCCAAGGTGCCTGCCCGCTGTCATTGGCGGCCAATGCCTATCTCAGAAGACACAGGAGCTGGCATCATTGGCATTAGATGGGGAAGCCATGCACCAAGCATCCTTCTGGCTCTGGAGCCCAGAGGCTCCAGTCAACCGCCCTGGCAGGAGCTGATTGGCAGGGCAGCCCCACCCCCTCCCCACATCTACCCATGGCAATGCACAGCTGCCGCATCTGGCCAGAGGGGAGGCGTCGCTTGAACTGGTCGTGCCCTTCAAAGGAAAGGGAAAGTTACAGAGGGACTGAGGAGGAAAGAGGGAGAGAAGGGGCGGGAAAACAGCAGCCCTTCCCGAGTTCCAGCATCTGGCAAAAGAGGCAACCGCCCACCACGTTTCACCCAGCCAATAGCAGCCCTGCACCACATGCCCCCTTCCCGCCTGGCCCACTCACCCTGATAACTGTAAGAGAGGTCCCCAGTCCCCGTGCTGTCAACCAGACCATCAGTGGATCCAGAACCAGTGTCTGCAGGGAATATAGGAAGGGAGGTTGAAGGGAGTGACCTTGGGGAAGGGGAACCCAGAACCATCCACTCCTAGGTGACTTAGGCAACCTTAACCGAAGGACACCAGGCAGTGAGTAGCCATGTACAGCCTCTAGTGTTGACACATACCAAAGGAGCCATAGTTGTAGCCCTCGTAAGGGGCGCTGCCAGGAAAGGAATCAGCCAGGACCCGAGGGTGACCTGCAATGAAAAGTCAAGCTCCCTTCAGCTCTGGAAGCAGAGAGAGACCTAGAGCCAGGGGAAGAGTGAAGGGAGAATCCAGCGGAGAAGTGAGAATCAGAGAGGGGTCATGCCAGTAGCAAAGAACATGCATTTATCTGACCAGCCCACTTCATCCACCACTCCCACCCCCCCCATGCACTCCAACCTCCAGCGTGCCTCTCAATGGAAACACGCACCCTCCTGTGTCTTCCCTTCATAGAGAAAGACAACTAAGAAGACTGGCAGCTAGGACAAATGACATCCAGCTGCCCAGTTCCCCTGAGACACCTCCCTCCCCAACCTGGGCAGCGGCTCCTCTGCCCACTGCACCTAAGGCTTACCAAGGAGAGAAGCTGAGAGGGAAGGTCCCCAGCAGGAAGAGAATAGAAAGAGATGACGGGTGGAGGAAAGGGAGAGAGAACAGGTTAATAATCCCAGATACAGACTTCCTGAGGCAGACAGTGCCACCAGACACAGAACAGCCCGAGCGACACCTTTCAGGACCTGCATGTTAGGGAGCACCAGATCCTGGCTCCATTTCCACCTGTGGTGTACCTCTCACGATCTGAACATGCAAAAGCCCCAACCCATCTCCTCCAACTCCCAAGGGAACCAGCCACCATTTGCCCTCCTCAAATACTACGTAAATCCTGCCCATTCCCCCCCC